AAGCAGTGGTATCAACGCAGAGTACTCATCACTGTTTTAATTTACATCATCGTTGTTTACTCGTGGTATCTGACCAGGACTACTGTAGATGATCAAATGAAGAATATCAATTGGAAGGTATGCTTGCCTGGTCCATGTTAGCGAAGCAGCCGAGAGTAGAAATTAGCTTTGTCAAATTTAAATGAATTTGGATTTGTTATAAAACTAATGTAAGCAGAGATCAGTCAGCACACGCAGAGACTGGTCGCAATTGCATTTGATCAAGACAGTACGTGTATGAGGGAGGCAGCAGACGGTAAGAGAAGTGAGAGTGCGCGTTCTCCGAGAAACGCCGACACCGTCCGCAATGGCGCCCGCTCTGCATGCGATGACTCGCTTATATCCAATCTGTCAAATAATTTGGTCGTTTATTAAGATACAATGTGTGGAACAACGACTACGCATGCAAGAACCGAACATACACCTCATAGAAGAAATGGCGAAGAAACTCGACGTTACGTACGACGATCTAGCACAAGATTCAAAGAAAATACTTAGCAGCATATGGGGACAGGGTTGGTTTGAAATTGTTGGACTATCTCAGCAAATTGAGGATCCACATGTCAAAAAGATTTGAAAAACCAAGAAATTAGTGTTGGAAGAAAAGGGGAGAGTTAAAATTGGGATTTATTATTTTTACCCTTTAAAATTAGTGGGCCAGTAATGAAATGCTCCATCCTGATGTATAGGCAATTCACAGTACGCAGAGACTGGACGCCGTTGCATCTCGACCTAAATAGTACGACTTTGGCAGAGACACCAGACGACTAGAGGAGCGAAAGTGCGTTTGATATGAGGGCGCCGACACGGTCCAGAGTCGCGACCTGTCTCTGCGTGCGATGAATTGCCTACAACTTCAATATCACACATCTATGTCTATGCTTTTTTTGTAACAAGCTATTTTCAGACTCTAAAAATGCTCAAATCTAACAGTGTTCAACAACGTATAGAATTCCCGAGCAGCCAAGATGCTCATAATGTTGTATTGAATTTTGTAGATAAACTTTCAAGACTAACTAAAATTTTGTGGATAACTAGAATAAAAATTTGCGAGAATGTATTCCATAATATCTATTACAAGAAAGATCGAGTACGGTTTGTATTTCCAGTATGTGACATGCCATCACTGTAGCATAAAAACGTACTGTGAACTATTCATTACCAAGCTACGGTGTAAGTAACAAAGAGATCCCCTCGCTCAGAGTGCCATTCATAATTTCATCGTCGAAGAATACTCCACCGTCGATATTGCAGTACAGGGGGCACATGCCAGGTTCGCCTGGTGCCGCATCCATGCCTGGCTCCCCGGGTGGTCCTTTGTTGCCGTCTTGTCCGCGCATGCCAATCTTTCCGGGAGGTCCTTTTAGTCCTGGTGGACCTAAAGAATGATACATTCGAGGCTCAAAATGGAAAGAGAAACTTAGAAAACTTACCCGGTCGTCCATTCTCTCCTGGCTGTCCGGCCGTTCCTGTAGGTCCGGGTAAACCTGGTGGGCCTCTCGGTCCGGGGCTCGGAAGACTAATAGGGCCTGTGATTGCCGGCCTTCCAGGTTGCCCCATAGGGCCGGGATTCCCTCTATTTCCCGCTGGTCCAGGTGGGCCTTTTGGTCCAGCTTCTCCAGGAGGTCCATTTTCTCCTCTGGCTCCAGGGACACCAGGTCGACCAGCATCCCCTGGTGGACCGGGGTTTCCAGGACTTCCTGGGGGCCCTATGGGACACTGCCTGCATGGTGGCTGTGTCACATCATTACATGGCTTCTGTGGAGGACGTCCCGGATTACCAGGTGCACCAGGCACACCTGGCTTACCGGGTCGCCCAGGTCGTCCGGGTGAGCCCTGCGCACCCGCGGGACCAGGAAGACAGCATCCCTGACAGTTTTCCTCTGTTATGACTGCTGCATCCATCTGTTGACTTCCATAGCCACTTTTTTCAATTTTATAGGGACGAGTTGCTTGACGAGCCGTTCGATTTGCTTGGGGGTAAAATTTAGTAGGCAGACGATTCGCATCCAGCCATATATTTCTTATAGAGTTCTGGAAAAGATAGTACACTCTAGTAAGTTTTCCGCTCAGTTCAGTGCGCTCGCGGTGCCGAGAAGCGATCAAATTTGCACGTCAACATATAGCCACGCCGCTGATGCTGGCATTTTGCGCGCGCAAGTGGGCATTTCAGTCGCAACTATTTGTTCACGCGCAAATTCGGTCGCCTGTCTGCACCGTAGATAAGTACACTGTATCGCGGAAAAACGCCAAGTGAATAGAATGGGAAAAACTCCTGCTTACCTTACAATCGTTCATTTCTGAATTTGCCCTATTTCTTACTTGAGTCACATAGTTGTAAACAACTGGCAGAGTAACACAAGTCGTCAGAATTGCGACAGAAGAAAATGCGATTGCAGTCAAACCCACGATTCGATATGCCTAAAAAACAAAGGCAATTTATGGAACTAGCAGGAAGTTGGAAAAAAAATTTACTCACCGCAATTTTTGCGTCTATATCCATGTTTAGATTTTGAGGTCACGCTGATGACGAATACACAGCTTTTTATAGAGGGTGGGTATTGTTTTTAGCGATGCGCAAGGTCAATGTCATGGTCAAAGCAGCTCTCCTTATTCTACTAGCTATTTCAGCGCTAATCATATCTCTGCTCAGTCATCGTTAACCTACACTTCGGCACAATTACACTTGGTTTTCGAAAAAACTAGACCAAATGGGTAGTAATGCATGGAATGTCGAATTTGGTGATTTCCTAATAAAAATGGAAATTTAGTATTAGAAAGGCAAACACGAGAAAAAAAAGCATTATGGAGTTAAATCGAGTGAAAAGATACTGAAAAAGGAAAAAATGGAAGAAGAGGATAAGGCATTACGTCTTTGCTTCGAACTTGCTAGTCAGAGTTGACAACCATATTCCACCCCATAATAAGAGATTACCTCAAATTTTCAGTTTGAATACATTTTGTCTATTTTCTCGTCTTGGGAGAAATAGCTGGAGTCATTTGAAATAAGGTGTGGTCATTTGCAAAAGGAAAACCCAATGGTGTTTCGTTGAGAGGAGCGCTACTTTCACCTTCTGACTGAAGGTACTCGAGGCTTTGCATTCGTTTTTAAAAATACATATTAACCTTTTATGACATTCTTGTACCAATTTTCGAATCCACGATCTATGGTTTAATAAGCTGCTTTGAAAATTTTGAAGAAAAAAGCGTGCACTTTCTGATAGTTCCAAAATAAAAATCTATATCTCTAATCATGGAAAAGTGTAGATCGAATTATTTACTAGTATTTATAAACTTTCTGGTTTTTCTTCGAACATATCAAAGTAAAATCCTACTACATCGTGTAGTTTTTTTTCACCTGATTTGCTGAGAATTTCACATCTGTAAAATTGAATACAAACAAACAGGGCAATCCTGTTGTAGTTATTTTTCGCATCTCTACTGAACAAGGAAACAAGGCACTGTTGGGTAACAATCAATGTAAAGAGCGTCCGACTTAAATGTTAAGTGGAATGCTGTATTTTGGATAGTACCGTACGCACTTTTATATTTTAGAATTAACATAGTTGATGCTTAGAATTTGAGTGTGCACAGAAATCATAGCTTTCGAGACGATTGAAGCTGCAGCAACGAATTCTTCACCTGTGCCATTTGAAAATCTATGAGATAATCAAATGGAATATAGCGTTTGCTTACGTGAAAATCATTCTTGATATCCAAAACTTAGTGGGGAGAACCGCAAAAGCAGCATCTCATTAACGCATTCATGAGAAGGCCATTTTTCGATTACTGCCGTTTCGGACCAGAGTCTTTTCCGCTTTATCAAACTTACGGCCCACCCGTGGGTCGTATTGTCCGAAATGGCGAGTTTAAAAAAAATTCAAAAGATGCCTCCGCGAATGCCACCAAACGGCTTATCGAAGGCGTTGATTATCAAAATATGATTTATTACAATTTTTGGCGTTATACGGTAAGGTTACGGTAGTCATTTAGTACGGATCCAACATCATGGATTTTCATGAAATAGTGTGTTTTGGGGTTATTTCACGTGCTGATTACGATTATAGTGTCCATTTTGTTCACAACTGTCCCACAGTAGGGTTACGTTAGCAGTACGTTGAAATTTTTCGCAAAAATCAAGAAACTAACGTAAGAGGGTGGTATTAAGACTTGAGACTGTCATTTTCGTAATCAGCATACTAAAAAACCTACATGTATAAAATTTGAGCTTCCCGGGATGAACACTACAAAAAATTAACAAAATCAACAACATTGAAAATTTTTGATGGGCTAATAAGTTTTTTGCTAGCCACGAGTCGCTCGTGCATGTACACTTGAATTCTCAGAAATAGCATCATTCCGCGAGGAATTCGAGCTGAAGTGTTTTATCTCTATCTACGTTATATCTACCGTAACATTCCATTACAGTATCCCGATCCCGGACCACTCTTACTGGAACTTCGCTTAAGTGTCGCAAACCATATGCCAGAACCCCGTAGAATTCCATCGTAAACTGACAAAGATAGAGCCTTAAGAATCTTACTACCCCCGGTGGGTGGTATTGTCCGAAACGGCAGAACACGTACGACTCACCGGTGGGTCGTATTGTCGTGAATGTGTTAAATGACTTTCTATTTTGCCTTATCAAATTTATTTCGAAAATCAGTTGAAAATTTCTAAAATTGGCTGAAGCCGTACAACTCCACTCCCCTCTTACAAGAACAATATCGGATGGGGTACGCCTCTCCTGCCAGCACAGCCTCAACGATGCTATCATTCAAAACAGTGGATCATAAATCTCTTCCAGGCACTTCATCACACGTCCCGGCTATGCTATCGCTTATGGCAGAGCTTTGGTAGAGAAGAATACGAATATTATTGTCTGAAGCGTCTAATTTAATCAACGACTGAACACGCGCGCCTCAGCCCTCGCCTAGTCGGCGACCACGTCGACTGACTGCTTCAAGTGCTTCAAATCCGGACATTAATCGATTTCTATCTTTTTGACGGTAGACTGAAAGTATAATCTGTTTAGCTACCCATGAGATTCTGCCAATATTTGTGGCTGAGATAGCTAATTTGGATCCCCAGGCAGCGCAGGTGAACAGTCTTCTTATACTAGCTGTTATTTGGCAAAAATCTCTTTCTTTATCTATCTGAGTGTTCATAGCTCCATGCTCTACACACCACCACGCACTCCATACTCATCAAAAACCATTATAAACACAATTTTTTCTAATTTTGAAGGGGAAAGAGACTTGCCAACCGGTGGTGAGGAAGCTTAGGCGAAATTTTCCGAAGTCACTATGAGTTACGATCTTGTACAAGTGGCTCGTTTCTACCAGTAAATAATTTTTTTCGGGGCGTTCAGACCCACTCAAAAGTCCAAAAGATTTTGAAAACGTGGCTAACAACTCCTCTTCATTCATTCTTTCGTTTGTTTTCCCTCCCCCGCCTCCGAACGATATTTCTCAGACCGCCGCTATTCTATCGATAACCCAAACATCAAATAAGGATTATAGAGAGAAATTTGCAAATTTTGCCCAGAAAAAGCTCCGCAGGCTTCTAAGAATTTTCGCGGTATCCATACATCCGTATAAACTGCTGCTGGACGTTTTAGTCAAAATTCTGTGAATTTTTTCGAATTTCAAAATTTTATATATTTCTATTACAAGGTAAACTTTAGAACGAACAACTCTTTTCAATCTCTTTCTTTCTCGAAATTCTTAGCAATTTTTTCATCTGCATATTTTCGCCATAGAATCATGGGATGACTTTTTTATTCCGCGATAGATCTTATTTTCGACTATACAACCCCTTCCTCCGAAACCTTAAACAGTTTTTCTTATTATCACTGCTGATTGCATGAGCCTTCTCTCTCTAAATTCTCTGGAAAATATTTTATTGGAAGAAATCAACTTTACAGGCAAATTGGCATTTATGTCAAGGACAAATGAAATTTTCGAGCATCTCAATTTGCCTCTACTCAAAGCACTGGAGTCACTGAAATTTTTAAGAACTTTCTCTCATAGCCAAGAGTAGAGAAAAATGAAAATTATGGTTTACCATGGGTTAAAAACGTTCAATTTCTTCAAAAGAATGTTAAATCATCTCCATTCTTACTGGAAGAAATATTTATTTATCGTAGAATGGGATTTTTAGGCATTTTTCCAGTTCGATCTCGATGAACTCCTCATTGAGGTACCCGTATGTACGACGTAGTACGGCTCAATTTGATGGTGAAGCACTGCAGGTAAACACTCTCGCTAATCGATATATCGACTTCCACTTCAACTCTCCTATATATAGCATCTTCTGCTTAATGAACGTATATGGCGTCATGCGTTTGAAAAACCAGCGAAAAATCTGGATCGAGACGGTAGAAAAACCAAATGGTCAACATTTATAGGTTATTTACAGGTGAGATTGAACATTTCATTGATTGGACTATCTACCTTATTCGTGGGTATCGATTGATTAAGCGAGACATGTTGAAATAATTATTTTGCAGTTCGCATACGAAAAATCACGCCTCCACTATCTATTTCCCATAATTCTTCTATTCGCTTACTCTCTACTCGGTGGTTTGATATTCTGGTCTATAGAAAAGTCGCACGAGGAAGTGATACTGTTGGATAAGGTTAGACTTTTCGCTTTTTAGAGGCAGCGTCAATCCATCCTCCCAGTCAGTTTCATAGCAGGTCTCTTATGTATAGCGAATGCATTGGTCCCGTCCTCTGATTTTTTCTCTAAAGGGAGAAAATGGATCTGCACTCTGTAAGAATCCTGTCTGCCCGCCTCTTTCACTTCGTCCCGCCCATCCGCTACATACTCCGTGACACGTTTTGACGTGGCAAGCACTTCCGGAGCATACTGTCTGTGTGTGTCCCTGTTGCATAGGATAGAATTTCCTGTTGCATACGACCGGACTAGCGATGGAGCACTCGTCCGAAAGGGAATTGATGGGGATCTCACGTATCCAAATCATCAGGGCCTTGGGAAGGCGAGAATAAATCACGGGGACCCATATTTTAGGCGGGCACGCTTTTGAGGGGATTGGGCTTAAATGGTCCTGTTTGTCTAATTTTTCTACTTCAGAGTAATTTTATTGATGCGCTCAAGGAGGAGTTATTGAATGTGGTACTACGTGTACATGAACATCTTTCCGAGTATAACAGGATTTATGCGTGGGTGTGAAATCTTCTCGACAAAGGCAGATTGAAATCAATATGATTTTGTTTCCAGAAATAATTCTTATGTTCGAAAAACGCATTTTCGAGCCTATAGGAAATACGCTTTGAATGAAATACACAAGGTGAGCATCTTCGGATTTCCGGAATTGTACTTTTGGGAGTCACTAGTTATCAATCTATACTAGTGCAGCTTATTAACCCAAAATTGATTTTTTTTCAGACTGTTTACTGGTATACGTTATCGATTTTCTACCTCACTGAAAATGAAAGTCATAAAGCATTGGTGCTTCGACCTCAAAATGCTGAACCTATTTGGAGGCAACAATTTGACAGCAATTTTGGTCGTATACATGCGCTACGGAATTATACGGATCAGGTTTGTTTTGCATTTTTTCGTGTATTGCTCTAGGCATTTTTGATTCAATATGTGAATTTGCACACTGCGCACTGTAACCGACGACGCCTTACTAGTAACTCGTCAGTAAAAATATTTCTAGCGGGACAAACTGAGCAAATGTGTACTGCTACTCAATACAGACTCAATAAAAGTAAAAAAAAAGATTCAAAGAGAAAATTCAGCGAATAAACAAAGTCTAATCCTACAAGTCGTGAAGTAGCGCGCATGGTGTGCAATTACACACAGTAAGTTAAAATTGAATAACCCGACGATTCGCCCCTAGAGACCGGCACCCCAAACCATCATAAAAATTGATTTCATGATTTTCATAACATTCAATTTAGCTTTCTCATCGATGTTGGGAAATTGGTGTTGAAGGCTCTCACATGGGTTGGGAACGATCAACATATAAAAAGAAGGTAAAAGAAAATTGTTACTCCTCAATTTTATCCTTCACAATCTCTGATATTTTTTAGATAAACGACAGCATGAGTGATTATAATATTGCCGTAGGATTGGATAATGTTTTGACTCCTGTGTGGACATTTTGGAATGCAATGTTTTTGGCAGGTTAGTGAAGTGCCTGCTCGATTTCATTACTTTAGTCAACATACAATATTCAGTGACCACCTACACCACTATCGGCTACGGTAATATCACCGCGAAAACTAAACTAGGAAAGCTTGCAGCTATGGTAAAGTGGACAAATGTTTTGGAAACACGATGTGAATCTTTTCTTGCAGGTGTATGCAGTCATTGGCATTCCTCTTGTACTAATGATTCTGCACAAATTGGGACGATTCTTCCTGTTGGCTCTGGAGCACGTTTGGGATTTTATCATGAGGTTAATACGATGAATTTAAGACGCGACCAACACTACCAATAGGCTCCGCTTGCTGCTACAGACCTCAACTAGTAAAGACACATGATTGGTGCCAGATTTCGCGCAGTCTAGCCCGTAACGTTCCACCTCATTTTGACCATGCAAGAGTTCCTTCATTGAACGCGAGCTTCTCAAAAGCATTTTATGTGACAATATCCATCCAGGGCCTCTTTGAATAGAGTTGATAGGGGGAGAACTTTGCTGGGACCATTCTCATTACTTTTCTTGCTGATTATGCCTGACCCCAAAAAATGGCCTAATCCTGGACTTGATTTCAGAGGAGCCGAGTATCTATGCTTCGTGAATGGAGGAAGTCGTCTGAAACTGTCCGAAGAAGAGCGAATATCGGAAATGCCACTACTTCTAGCTTTAGGTAAACCAGTCATGAAAATATATAAAAAACCAGAAAAAAAATTTACCTATATCTACCTTTGCCAGGTGTCGCTTTTGGTTGGATGTTTCTGTGCGCTGCGATTTTTCTGCAATTTGAAAAAGACTGGGACTACTTCAAAAGTTTTTACTTCTTCTTTTGCTCACTAACTACGATAGGTTATGGTAAGGTTTGAAAGGATGATATAGACGAGTCATCGTACGCAGACGCCGCAGACGGACGCCATTGCGGACGCTGTCAGCGCTTCTCTGATTAAGCGCATGTTCATCCTCTTACCGCCTGCTGTCTCCTCCAAAGACAAACTATCTTGGTTGGACGCAATGGCGTCCAGTTTTTGCGTGCAATGACTCGCCTATTCATAGAAGTATCAAACTCTTCAGGCGATGTGACCCCGACGAAAAGCGAGGATATGTTCATAATTTTCGGACTGATAATGATAGGATTATCCTTAGTATCTATGTGCATCAATGTTATACAGCTCAAGCTAGAAAAGCTGTTCGAGGTGAGATAGATGAAAATAATGCAAAATGCATCTAAATTTTTGTTCACTATATAGAACCCCATCAATTTTTCTAGGAGCTGTTACTAACGCTCATGGAAGAGTATAGTACTGATCCAGAGGCAACTAATCTGAAAGGTGGACAGATTGGTAGGATATGGGATTTGCATAATTATTTTGCATACATTTTCGAGTATCTTCGATTCACCACGGACTGCTCAAACGCTGCGGAGCAGCGGCGCGGCTGAATTGTCGCGAGAGCACGACTTGTCCAATGGCGAATTTGTACTGGGGCAAGCGTCTTACCTCGCGGCACGTGCTCCGCAGTGATGTCCAGTCCGTGCGCTCAACGAATCTACTATAATTTTCTAGGAATGATGGAAATGTGGCGAGTGTGGAAAAAGAGAAAATCTCGATTGCGTAAAGGTTTGGCACCAGCGCGACAAGCTGCAGGAAAAGCAAGCCAAAATTTGGCTAAGGTAGAACCCGACAAGGATAAATGGAACAGTCTAATTGATTTCCTGTTCAATAAAGTGTGTTTGCGGCACCAAAAATTGGCAACCAATTTTCTGCGTGAACAGATAGCCGCCAGTGATGTCGGCATTTTGCTCGCGCAAATGGACGGCATTATAAGCGAAGCTATTTGTTCACGCGCAAATTAGTACTCTGCGTTGATACCACTGCTTACTAACTAGGCGAAATCTACTAGACTCTTAGCCGAGCTTCATAGCATCAAAGCCTAAAGCCCCGGACAGACTTCACGCGATTTGATCGTCGCGACTCAATCGCCGACATTTCCATTCATTTTCATTTCACATTCAGAATTTTCGGGCAGGAAAAGTATCACAACCGCAATGCAAGTTGATCGGCATGGAATGATGTTGTAACAGTTGTCTCGTCGCGATTCAGTCGTGACGATCAAATCGCGTGAAGTTTGTCCGGGGCCTAAGACTGAAACGATGCAAGTTCCATTAAGGTGATTCCATTTGCACGTCGACGAGATCGACATCACCTTATCGAAGAATTGCAACATCGCCTTCATATGAGGGATAAAGCGACACAAACCGAAAATATTAATGGTCCAATTTTGGAAGAAGCTTGGACCGAGACCAGCGATGTCGATAGTTACACAACTAGCTGTAGCGTTCCATACGGTAAGACATTTTATAGGCAATTCATCGCACGCAGAGACAAGTTGCCAGTGCGGACCCTGTCGGCGTCTCTCAGGTCGAGCACACTCTCATTTTTCTGAACATCCGCTACCTCTTCCAAGCACGTATTATCTCACTCGGGGACGCAAACTCCAGTCTTTGCTTGCAATAAATTCCTTTTGATCCGATACGGTAAAGAAACTTTTTCAGAAGTAGGCGGTGCTTACTTGGGATTGGACGCACCAACTCCAATCATAGCTGGACCATCTCGCAGCGAAACGCATCCAGTAGTCGTTCAAGCCGAGCTATCATCTTTGGCTTCTTCAGCGCATTCGACAAGTTCGACAAATCGCAGCAGGCTTAGCAATCCACGATCGGCTAGCAGCGTCCCCTCAAAAATGTACAACAAATATTAAAATTTCTGCCTTATTTGATTTCTCTATGATTGCGTCCATAGGTCAACACTTTCCACAGTCTCAAGTAAGGCGTCGTCCGCGAAATCAGCGCCGATGCCTCAATCGGGTGTGTTTCCAGTCGACTTTGATCCAAACCGGAGGTGGACATTCATCGAGACCGGAAAGGTAAGTCTTGCTTTTTCCCTTACTGAGATTCCAAACCGCCTGCACTTGTGTGAATACATGACAAAAGTTTATCAAATGGTATAGTTGAATGCACGGAATTACCGGGCTGTACGCCCGCGAGCGTGCCGTTTGCGGGCTAACATTGGCATTCGCGCGCATGAGTCCTCAGAGCGCCCGTACTCGGCACCTGCGTTGCGGGCACACTCGCGTGCGTTCAGCCTACAGCGACCCGGGCAACCTCGTGCAGTCGACTTTAACTCTTGCTGCAGCCTGCTCAAAGTCTCGGATTTGATTTTCAGACCCAACGTGGAGCTCCTCGAGGACTTGTGGTTCCGTACATGTATACTTCAAGACAGGTAAATCTCCACTCACATTTCTATCGATAATGGCATAATCATAACCAGAACCGTCACGTACACACAAACGAGATGCGTCGTCTCATCTCCGAGCTGGACGCTCGTCTACGTGACTGCCGGATGCTGACCGCTAGTCCACAATCATCATCAATGAGCTCTTATTCGAAGTGAGTGACTATACTCAGGACATAAACGTCGAACCTCAGCTGCCGATGCCTTATTCTTTCGTTTTGCAAATCAGTTTTGACATAAAGGCAGTGTCCCGGCAGATTAGCGCCTTGGTGGATATTGTTATAGTGGAGTTCCTGGCCATCCCATCGACCTCCGGGTGCAGTCGGGCTGGTTGATGTTCCCCCTGGGCCGAGAAAATAGCCCTTAAACCGGCGCGCGCTCGGGCGACTTCGCTTGCCGTTCGGCGCAAGACCCACGACCGCTCTCCTACGTTGTGCATGCTATCCAAAGCAAGATCACTGGCAGCAGGCTCTTTGTGCCAGGGTCTCCCAACTTTCCATGAAAATTCTCGTCCGAGCTGCCTTTTGGAAATTGGGTGAACACCCCAAAAAAGGTCTTTCCACCCGTTTCAAAGCTCAAATTTGGGGTCTACGGGTCGAAAAGGCCCGAAACATGCAAAAAGATGGAAATACAAAATCTGCCAGGACAATGCCTATAAGGAAAAGTTGAACATATGTAGCTTTGGAGTGCTTTGACCTCGTACTGTAGTCAGACCGTATTTTTGTCACTGCCACATTTCAAGGAATGATAAATTTTATTTTGAGATTTGTACATCGAATTTTCATCATGACATTATAGACAGATACCTATACAGATCAACTTTCTCTTGCTCGTTTCCGTGCCACTTCGTTATCCTAAAAACAGTTACGTAAAAAGAAATGATCTGTAACTCAGGCAACTTCGTTTGGCATGATAATCTAGGAAAAGACTTAAAGGCTCATTTTTTCTCCAAGATGAAAAGCAAGAGATACTGATACACTTACAGTCCCAAATTCGTAGTAATGAGGTGCCAATTCGTATAGCCAATGCGGTTCAATTACCGAGATATCTCTGATGGAGTCTTGCATAGCTTCCGTGAAAATGACCCTACAATGATGCATTTGGAGGAAGATCTGGCCAAATTTGAAAATGGAAGTTAACCAACCACTTTGGATAATCCTTTTTGTACATTATCACAGACCCTTTGTATACATTGAATGGAAACTCTTCCTTTACAGTGACATACTTTCCAGTATAATGATACCTTGCTGCTTGAGAAAAGAAACCGGATACAAGGCATCTAATAATTTTTGTAGCTCCACCTAAAACAAGTTCAGTGTAGAAGTATCTGCTACATGTTCATTCAAAAAAAAAACCCCGAAAGAGTTCTCGTGAGGAAACCTCATCAAGAGATTCAACTCACCCGGTTCTCCTCTTGTTGTTACCAGAGGAACGCCAAATCTCCTCAGCAATCTTACTAACTGTTGCCGCACATTATCAGCACGACAAAGACCTCGATAGTTGAGAAAATGGTCACCACACCATTTACGGCTTCGATTATTCTGTAACATTAGTTGTGCAAGTATGGCATGAGAAACGGCTTGCGCGCAGCCGTCAGACTTCATTCAAAAGCGCTCAAAAGCGCTTCTTTTTCAGTATCTCATCATATTTCTCATCTCTCCCCACACCGTTGCGCGCTAGTCCAAAACCGCTAGCAGGCTCCCCTTATAACGCTACCGCGGAATGTCAGTATAAGAGATGATAATGTGATGAAAGAACGAAAGAATCTGAGCGCCACTGGGCGCTTTTAGACGCGTTTTTCGGCGCTTTTGAGCAAAGGTTGAGAGCTGCTCAAGAATAAACAAAATCTTATGCCTTTTGCTAAGACATGCACTACTATCATGCAAAATTTGGTAAATGAACTAGCCAAATTTTTGAAACCTTTTGGTTAGAAAGTGTAAGTTCACCTGCACGAACATCGTGTAAACATTAAGATATGCTATGTGGTCTCCCTCTTCGGCAGCAAATCGTCGCTTAATCTCCTCCTGTAAAACTGACTTTTGACACAATTTTCAATCTTTATGATATGTGAAAGACAAATTTCATGAAGATACTGAGTTATACAACTTAATCAAAACTCACAGCTCGCTGTCGATTTCGAATTGGTGGTACAAACACATCTTGAACTTGCAGCATGGCGATGATGGACGCAATCTCTTCGCTGCATCCAAAATCACCTTAACGACTCCAAGTTAAATGAGAAAAAGTTATCGAATTTTTGCAGGGAAAACTACCTGATGTCAGAAGACATTTGCTGTGCATTGGCGGTAGAGGAAACTCAGACATGCGGAGTCCCAACGGGTTAGTGAGCATAGATCTGAATAGAAAGTCATAGATAGGAAATAGTCTTAGATAGTCTTAGATAGAAAACATTGAATCCTATAAAAAGGTAATAGAAAACTCGAGCAAAATTGACTTACTTTTCATCCAAGGCACCCAGCGCGTAGAGTAGCTCGAGAGCGTTGATCATAGACCATGATGGCGGTCTCTGCAAAATTAATCTTTCAGAATACCCTATCTTTTCTGAGAACGAAGCGATGAAAATTGGTACTCTTAGTACATACCGAAAGGTAGTGAAACTTGTGTACGTTCTGTATTCCAAGAGCTTTGAGCTGTAAAACGATGGGTGCTAAATGGCAACGCTGAATTTCGGGTATCGTTCCGTCGCTCAATTTCTCAAACTGAGATTCTGCAAGTAATCTCAATAGCAAGATTTGCAAGAAGCACATAATATTATCAGAAACAAACCAGGATATAATCTGTAGGCTTTGCCTGGTCGAATTCGACCCGCACGTCCGGCTCTTTGTTCTGCAGATGATTTCGAGATCGGCAACCGCATCAGAGTTTCTATTCCATTATCAGGATTCATAGCACGCAGCTTCACAAATCCGCAATCAACAACTGAAATCAGGACAATCTGCAGTGAAGGCCCATGCCAAATAAACATACATATTGGAAAACATTCGTAAAGTACCCATTTCCCAGCAGAAAAAAAAATATGAGTTAGCTAAATCTGAGAAGGTGCGCTAGTTTGGTGATGCGAGGAAATGGAAAAGGGAGATAGAGAACCAAATGAATTTTAGAGCGGTTTTAGTGAGCTGACATGTTGTATAAACCTACCGTAAGCTATTCCGGGAATAGTGACGGATGCTTCGGCTATATTCGTTGCAACCACCACCTTCCTAGTGCCATGTGGTGTAGAGTCGAACGCTTTTAACTGCAAGAAAAAGAAAAATATCTAGCAGCACACTCGTTGATCAAAAGAAAATCACCTGTTCTCTTGGCGACAATGCACCATAACAAGGCACAATCCATAACTTGTCCACATTTCGTAGACGTTCAACACCATCCGACAGCATCTCGCAAACCTAAGAAGCGAAAGTGTATCACACTCATTCGGTGCGGCTCAAAAACCTGTAGGTAGAAAAAACAGACCTACCTGTATTACCTCGTCCTGGCCAGTCATAAATACCAAAACATCGCCAGGAATCTCCTTTTTGTGAATGTCCAGCACTGTCTCTACGGTAGCCTTGATGTAGTCTGGGACTGCTCTTGAAAGGTTACGTTTTTCGTATTCTCAGCAAACAGCGAGTAAAAAAATGAGAACTATCAAAAATTCACCAACGTTTTTGTGTGGTAAATGGCGACAGGATGTGTTCGTCCTTCCACTGACATGATACACGCTGTATCGCGGCTATGGTCGTCGCTGTCATTCAACTCGAAAAAATCCCGAAATAGCTAAAATAAAGTGATTAGAAAGCGAACACTGATGTGGCCGGAAGAAGATTACCTCAGCATCCAGCGTCGCTGAGGATACAATAATTCGAAGATCGGATCGTACTATCAACACTTTCCGAAGGAGTCCTAATAAGATATCAGAATTACACGTCCTCTCGTGTGCTTCGTCTATCATAATCACACTGAAAACAACGGTAGTGAGCAGTAAATTGTTGGTACTCCAGGAAACTTCCATTTTCTTGAATCTATTGACTGACACAATCAGAGGTGCGATAGGTGAAGCCGGGCCCCCCAAAAGTGAAGGTGGTAGTGCCGGACACTCACCTCCCAAAAACGTCGACCGGGGGGGGGGGGGGGGAGGAGAAGGGGGGGACTTCGGATAATGAAGAACTCTGACCCAACGGTCTCCTTGAGGGCCAACAAGTGTGACCTAACGGCCCTCTTTAGGGCCACAAATACGATGAGTATAGCGGCATAAAAATAAAATAAAAAGAAATAAATATGTTATTCAAATGGTCTATTTGTAAGTAAATCCCAGTTAGACTTTACATATTTCATTAAGTAGATTTTGTTATAACGTACTGCGAATAAAGTAGGTCGATCCAGGCAGTAACCACCGAGAACCAGAATTTCAAATAATAAAATAGCGAAAAATCATGCGAAATTTCCACTGTTATAAATCTGATGGTTGAAGATGTCAGCAACTGCGACTTCATAGGTTTTGAAGGGCTAGTGTTGTTCTACCAGTCAGTGAAAGAATTAGATCGATCTGAGCAGTACTCGCCGAGAGCGAGAATTTTAAAAAATTAAGCGATTTTAGGTTACTTAGTGACAGCTGACGTTTAAACTCCTATAAATCTGAAATGTGAAAATATGCAATGTTGCGACTTCATAGGTTTTGTGGAGTAAGGATTGCTCTACCGGAGTATGCCTTAGCCGTACCGATCCATTGAAATAGCGCCGAGATCCAGGGTCTTGAAAAAGCAGGTAAAAAACCGCTTTTTGAACTTCAACAGCTCATAACTTCTTCAGAATTGCATGAATCATGTTGCGACTTCATAGGTTTGATTCTTCTCATCAAGAGCTTTCAGATGATATATAATATGTGGGGGATTCGCGCCTTTCACGGCATATACCCGGGGGTGGAGACTTTTCACCCCAAAGTCTCCACTGCGGTCTCCGGCCAATACATTAACATGGGCGAGGTGGAGACTTTGGGGTGAAAAGTCTCCACCCTGGGTTAGAGCCGCAAAAATCATTGAACCCCCCACATACTATATATCATCTGAAAGCTCTTGATGAGAAGAATCAAACCTATGAAGTCGAAACATGATTCATGCAATTCTGAAGAAGTTATGAGCTGTTGAAGTTCAAAAAGCGGTTTTTTACCTGCTTTTTCAAGACCCTGGATCTAGGCGCTATTTCAATGGATCGGTACGGCTAAGGCATACTCCGGTAGAGCAATCCTTACTCCACAAAACCTATGAAGTCGCAACATTGCATATTTTCACATTCCAGATTTATAGGAGTTTAAACGTCAGCTGTCACTAAGCAACCTAAAATCGCTTAATTTTTTAAAATTCTCGTTCTCGGCGGCCACTGCTCAAATCGACTCGATTCTTCCACTATCTGGTAGAACAACACTTGCTCTTCAAAACCTATAAAGTCGCAATTGCTGACATCTTCGACCACCAGATTTATAACAGTGGAAATTTCGCATGATTTTTCGCTACTTTGTCACTCGAAATACTGGTTCTCTGCGGTTACTGCCTAGATTGACCTACTACATGGATATATGCTCTCAATACTTTCTTTTTCGTTTCTTTTGCTCATTTTCCTTCTTTTAATCTTCAGCAAAAAATTTTTTTCAAACCCAAAAGTGAAGGTGGTCACCCGGTACCAGCTCAAAAGTGAAGGTAGGCGGAGACTCGGCTCCAACTATCGCACCTCTGGACACAATACAAAGATACAGACCCACCTGTACTTTGATAGCAGAGGATCTGTTAGCAGCTCCCTCAGAAGAATTCCATCTGTCATGAACTAAATCACCAAAATTTCTTTACTGGCACAAATTCAGATTTTCTACGAAACGGATTCGTGTATATTGAAAACAACCACTGATTTCTGCTTACCTTGATTTTGGTACGATCATCTGTAACGTCATCAAACCGAACGGTATACCCGACATCTTGCCCAAGTATCGTTTCTTTCTCTTCTGCGACGCGAGTCGCCAGCTAAAATCAACGCAGTAACGTAAGCGCTGAGCTTGCAACTTTTTTCATTTTTCACAGAAATGAAGTAAGTACCGTAACCACAGCTACTCTTCGTGGCTGCGTTATAGCAATCATTCGTCCATCGTTAGCCCACCCAGCCTCCATAAGATACTGAGGTACCTAAAAAGCTGCCTAAGAACGCCACAAAGACATGATTACAGAAACTGAGTCTCTTCACAAGCGAAAGCCTGCGGAGATGCAGCGCAAACCCCTTGCGCTCCGATCGCACAAATATACGCTAACCTTCGGCCAGATCCCGATTGGAACAGACTGTGATCGAGGTATCCGCAGCACGCAGCCACCGTCAACGTTTCAAGCAAAAACTTCGAAAGGCGACTAACCTGCGTACTTTTTCCACATCCTGTTTCACCGATTATGATGACCGTTCGATACTTTTCGCACAGATACAGGACATGATCGCGATTCTAAATCTGCTAATTTTTATTTCTTAACAGATTCGCCTCTGAGCTGCGAGATTGAAATGTGTCTCCCCCTCCCACTCTCAAAAAAAAAAAACAAATTCTAGAACACTAATGCTGTCAAAAATGGAGAATCGGAAATCCGGGGCGTCGGCAAACATCATACCCATACCTTGTAAATGGGAAGACGGGCTCGCTGCTGTTTCATATTCAAGGAAGCATAAGGATTGTTATACACTGTCAGCACATCTTGAGTGGATCCAGAGGGTTCAGCCAGTCGATCTTCGAAAACAAGTGGGCCACTTCGGGTTCTGTCCGGCCTATCATCTACAAAAGTAAAATTTCAACAAAAGAGACTCGCGGAAGGGTGGAGATGGAAAAAGCCTTGCCAGGTCGCAGAAACTTGAAACGATCTCTCGGATCACTTCCCACACGATGCCCATGGCCGGGATGGTAGTCCGGCATGCTGAAATAAATTGTTAATCTTCGAAAGCTTCAGCGCTGACCACCCAAAATCCTGCTTCAGCCTCCTACAAAGAAACGTCCACTTCAAAAAAAAATAAGAAAATAGATTGAAAGGAAACTTAAATTTCAGAACCTGAAAGAGATTGAAAGGAAACTTCTGTTTTGAAATGAAAGAAAAGAAGTTTCACGAAGCAGATTTAAAACGAAACTCATGCTCAGTCTGAATTTAGGCGTGGACCATGAAAACAACGCGATAATGCACTAAGACCGATGACGTCATCCCTTCTGTAATCTTCAGCTAGGTCTAAATTTTTTGCTTTTGTGACATTCCAAACTACCGCCGTGTTTTCAAGATCAAATAACAGTTCTTTTCCGGGCAGTGGGACTGAAATGATTTTACTCGAGCAAAACAACCGTATAATCAGTGAGCTTTTAGAGCTGAAATTTACAAACGCAAAGGAGGGGTGAGTCAATCATCTTAGCTATTATTCTCCTATACTTTGTTCTATATTTGTGTTCAGGGGAAAGCCGGATAACGTAGACGCACAATTTGCTGATTTTGATGGTGTTGTATACCATGCCTCAAACCCAGATGGGGATAAAACAAAGATAAGGGTTAGTCATAATTGCCATAGCTCTTTCTTGCTATTTTTACGGATTTTTGACAAGTTTCTTACTTGTTCATTCGATAAAAACTGAGGTAAAATCAGGATAAAATTTTGCTTCGATTTGAATTCGTACTCTTTTAGTATGGGTCATTTTATGGAACGAAGATAGGAGCATATGTATATCTCATTTTTCTGGCGAAGTTACCTATTTCCTAGGATAATGACTGAGAATTTTGCGCGTTTCAGACTAACAGATTGAAGCTGTTGTACTGCCCTGTCGCGGTCAAGAAGCTTCGTCTTTTGTGCTTCTAACTAATGCAAAAAATGGGCAGCAACTACGCCCTCGAAATTATTTTTATAAGCTAGTTCGGAGTTAGCAATCAAGAGTCGGTTTGATATCAGAGTAAAAACAAGCTAGACAATTTCATATCTCGTAGGGCTACTTTCAAAAATCTTGCGATTAATCTTTTGTGCAATAAATCCCGACGGCGAAGTAATTCATTAGTGAAATCTAATGAAATATAGTTCATTACATTTTCGAATCACGACATCCACAAATACGAGATTTTTAAACTTGATTGATGCAATAAATGACCCATGATTTTCTATGTTTTCAGTTGAGCATTTCGCTGAAGTTTTTCAAAGAATTGCAAGAGCATGGTGCTGATGCCGTGAGTTTCTGCTGCTTATTACACGTTGTATTTATCACTTTGAACGATTTCTATTGGGTTTAGCTACTGCGTCGGGAGTACGGCTCATATCTTACCACGCCTGAGCCTGGTTACAATGTATCACTATTGTTTGATCTGACCGCACTTCCTAGTGATCACGCTGCCTTGAGTAAGTTTTCACCAGCTATATGGAATCTCAATGAATGATCAGACACAGCAAGTACCTTAACTAACACTGTGCCTCTCTTTTTATTTTGGAAGGTAACTTATGTTTTGGTGTTCAATCAGCCATACTTTACAGTACAAAAGGCATCCATGCTCAAGAGGAACTGCTTTGCTTCTGTATTTGAGAAGTACTTTGAGTTCCAAGAAACTGGGCAAGAAGGACAAAAAAGAGCTGTGATCAACTACAGAGAAGACGAAACTATGTTGGTGCTTGTTTTGAGATATCAAACTCTACGCAATATTTTTTGTTTTCAGGTACATAGAAGCTAAAGCTGACCGAGTTACAGTCATATTTAGCACAATTTTCAAGGACCCAGATGATGTCATTATTGGGAAAGTTTTCTTGCAGGTATCTAGCATAATTCTTTCCTCATCATACTTACTTGCCTTGATTGAATTGCCTGATTTCCAGGAGTTCCGAGAAGGACGCAAGGCGAGTCAAACTGCACCATCCGTGCTGTATTCGTTAGGTGAACCTCCTCTGGAGTTACGAGACCAACCAGGCGCTAGAGTTGGTGAAAATGTTGGCTACATCACGTTTGGTATGTTATCGTTATTTCTCTTTTCTCACCTAATTTGCTGTTTACAGTCCTATTTCCGCGTCATACAAATAAAAATGCACGTGACAACACTATAGATCTGATACATACTTTCCGAGATTATCTGCACTATCATATCAAGTGTTCAAAGGTAGATTTTCAGTTGTACTGCCCTATCATCAGCACAAATATGGAAATGCCTTCAGGTATACATGCACTCAAGAATGCGGTCAAAGACAAATGACTTCTTGAAAGTTTTGAATCGTGCACGTCCAGAAGTGAAGCTGGAGAAGAAAACTTACAGGTAGACTTTGCGCTTATGGGGTAGCGCTATACAATGGCGTTGCTATCTGCGCGGAATGTCTTGTTTGTATCCTGGTGACAATGGGTAACTGCGGATTGTCTTTGCCATTTACCAAAAAGCCCAATTTCTCTGCTTCTGGTAGATGAAACATAGTTTTTTAGAAGTTAGGTGACGCTATCTTTGCTGGAGTGTGACATCATTCTTTTGTTTTGGTTAAAATAAGGTTTGACCATCAAATTTTCGTATCCGTTTAGATTAAGGAAGTATATCTCGACCTAGACCACTAGTAAATCATTCATTGGGCTTGGCAAAGGGTGAAGCTTTGAGCAGCATTTTGTTCAGGAGTCAGACTGATAAACTGAATTTTTTGAGCGACTTAGAAGGGTGTATTTTCTTCTTAGGGCACCAGACTAAGCGACTGTTTTGTCGAGCTACAGAACCGCGCAGAATTAAAATTAATTTTGCGCACGATTGCCTGCTTCAGCTGCAGGACCGCGCAAAATTAATGCTAATTCTGCGCAGTCCTGCAGCTAAGCAAAACAGTCGCTTAGTTTGGCGCCTAACTTATTTCTGCTAGTTTCGGGTGGCGCGTATTATATAAGGTACACTACACATTTTTTTCTTCCAGTGGTCGATCGTACGTGCCCAGCTGAATGAAACATGCCTGCCCCTTTTTTCATCATAGTCGACTGCTTTATGATAATTATTTTCTTTAATTTATGATTTCTATGCTTTTAACCGCACAAATAAAGTGTATTTACTTCACAAGGCTTATAATATATACAGAAAAAAAAACAGATCAAACTGTCGAGATTCAGAAGAACAAACACCAGTTCACAAAGAGTATCATTGAGAAGTGGGATTGTATGAGCGATGCTAAAAAAAAAACAATACTGGCAGTTGATGCATGCAGTGGCTTTTCAGATCAAAAAGGGAGTTGAGATTGACGTAAGTGAGGTAATATGCAATAATAATATGATAGCAGAGATCGTTACTTAGCTCCTAGTAGTACACGAGTTCCAATGATAGCTCCAACACCAACGAGAGCTGCTGCTCCGATGCCTATCAGACTCCATCGTCGAGTTGACTTTCGACGTTCAGCAGCTTCACGTTGTGCTGCATCTCTACGGATGATATCCGCCGCGATTAACATGAAGCTTTTCTGAAAATTTAATGCAGAGTTCAGAACGTACAATCGATCAGCTCTTTTCATAGCCATGGTAACAAAGTCAATGAGCGAAAAAAAGGAAAGCTGGCTTTTTTTGATCTACACATAACCCCACTACAGTCTGCCCACAATCCCAACCAGGCCAAAATTGGCATGGCGAGAGACCACGTCGCTAGGGTTTCGCGGTCACGCCCATGGCCTGCTTCTTTGCCCTCTCTTTAATCTTTTTGCTCTCTCCGACAGCGCGATGCAGTGCAGCCCGCTAGCGCTGCGAGCGCGCAAATTTACGCCGACGCTTCGACCTGATCCCGATTGGAGCAGACTGTGGCAATCTATCAAAGCACTTGAGGGCACCGTCTACCCAAGTTCTCATTTCCATGTTTTGGTCGTTTCGGGGTCTGGGTGGACGATATTTTTAAAGGCAGTGGCTCGGCAAATCTCAACCTAGTCAAATTTGCGCTTACCTGGGGTTTTTCAATACGCTGATCCCGAAAATCCACTTTTCAAAGCTTGAAAACGGCGAAAGTAAGCGTTTTTTAATGCCCCCTTTGGAATTGGACGAGTGGAGCAAGGTTGATGACGCTAATTCGTGACCCAATGGTTATAGCGTTGCGGCGGGCAGCCTCTGGTGAGAAGGAAACTGCCAACTCGTCCAGATGCGTGTAAGATTGGCCTGCGCGTTTAAATTTGAGAGCGATTTTCTCGGCAGGGAAAGCATCTGTGCATGCCGGGATTGCACTGTTTTCATACTTGGGCGATAAGGACCCTACCGCGTTAAAATCCTGAGTCGCTGGATTTTGCCGATCCACTGCCTTTAGGACTGGGGCTCATAAGAAAACTCAAACGGAAAAAATAAGACTGCGATAAATAAACTAGTATCGACTAACCCAGCTCCTCTCATCCTCCACCCAAGTCAGTCGTATCCGCTTTGCAATAAATTTCGCTGTATACAGAGCAAGTTGCTGAACTTCACGACGAAGATTCCGTGCATATAACCTTGCCGCTACCAGTCCTCCGAAGGATATCAATCCCACCTGAATGAACAAGGCTTGTAACGCAACCAAATTTGACGATAAGAGACTGACCAATCTTCCATACGACATCCCATTTTCCATTTCATCTGCAGTTCTACCGAACTCATCAACTATCTAGACAAAAACAAGTACATTTCAGCAAACAAATTGTAGTCTGCAGTGCACTGACCTCACAGTAACGGGCAAACGTCAGGTTCTCATCCTCTAGCAATTCATCTGCAAAACTGTGCAGTTCGCTACGATGGCGGCGTTCGAAGATATATGCGACCTTTCTAAAATACAATTCCAAGTCTATCGTAGCAAACAGTTGAATGGCCAAGTATTTGCCGTCAATGTTTCATCCTAACTGCGAAAAAACCCAGAAAATGGTATGGCAAACGCCATCGATCAAACCTGCCAAAGTGGACCAAATAGTGGTCTGATATTAACAGCAAAAACAACTTTAAAATTACGCCAATAATGCAGAAGAGATCTGTATAACTGATTCGACAAGAAGTTTACCTCATCATCTCATGCTCAGGTTGAATGCCGAATGGTAACGCTGGCTGCTCATGCCATTCTTGCGTGCCCTGCTTGATTCGCCAAGCAATATAATCGACCTGAATCATCAATAAGTCACTCAAGCAATTAATAAGCACATAAACTCACCACAAATCCCTCCACATCGAGTCGCGGATCTTCGAAGTCTGGGGCATTTGGGACATCTGGCACTGATGGAGCCGCAATCAATTCTGTGCCCATCACCTATAATTTTTATCTCTAACTATGTGTCACAGGTACAACAGTAAACATTTCGACGTTCGACGACAATAACGGAGTCAACAAAGAGAAAAGAATACAGCTAAATCCTATTATTCACCGGAAGAAAACTAGTGAGAACGACCTAGTAAAGGCTGCAGACACTAAGTTATACAAATTCCCTAGCTATGCAAGGGAAAATAGAAGAAGCATGGAGGGAACGAGCGAAGTACTGAGATGCTGGATGAAAGTAAACATCTGATCACTGTTTCTTCTCAGGCTGATTCGCAGTTGGCCATGCCATATACGCAGCTGCCGTAGCAATAATAGCAGCGAGAATAAGCACAAGATAGCCGCTTCGGACGATCTGGAAAAAACGAATGTGGTACAAGTATTGAGAAGAGCTCTTGAAACAGCATGAAGTCAGAGATAAACTATACTAAAAACGAACTTCCCAAAAAAATGATTTGGTGCAAAGAAGGTTTCATGAGAAAAAACAAAATGTAGTATCATTTTTGGCGCACATAAAAAATGCTACTCCTACCAATGTTGATTTGGGATCACGGAAAGACGTATTCAAAGTCAAAACAAGGAAGAGCACATGCCTATAGGCCGTCCGCGCTGCGAGCGGAGAGCAACGCTATCGCGTACAGTGAAGATAGTACGGGCGCAGAGAAAACAAGGCGGCGAGAGTGCACGGGGAAAGACGAGTGACGCGCAATACACACCTTGCGCACTCTCCGCGCCAGCGCGGACGGCCTATACTAGAGACAGCATACCTCGTTGATATCTTTCATTCCTTTTGCAAGATCGAATCCAATGAATCGGATGCCATTCATCACATGCAAGGAGATGGGAAACACAATTATCCACTGAAGGGATGTTACAAATAACTTCTGCTTCAGCAATTTGAAAGAAATAGTAAAACAACCTTGAAAGCCGAGGTGATGATCGGATGTAGATGCCAGCTTCGAATGTACTCCACAAAGTCAGTGAAGCTGATAGGAAGCAATGCGAATCCGACACCTAAACATAAAGAAACCCAAGAAAATAAGCAAAATTGCTAAAACTGTTATAGAATGTAACCTCCTAGCAGCAAGGTCGTAGCCATGACACATCCGGTAATACGGTGAAGACCCGATACCTAAACCAAAACTTTAACCCTGATGGTAAACCGCGGAATGGATGCCTCACAATCATAGTAATTGGAGGTTTGTAGGCGCCCAAATGTGGTGCGATGGGACGACCAAGGGACTTCTGTTTCTGGAGATAAGCCCATCCCCATTCCTGCACTGGTGTCTTCACTTCACGACGGATCGCTGTGGTAGCAATAAGTCTTGACGACCTCAGCTGTTGTGGTGCGACACGGCAGAGAATTCGGCTCAACAACATCTTCACCTGTAAAGTGCAGGATAGTCGAGTTAACCAGGGAGTGGGTAGACAAAAAGGAGCTATAGCTATTGAAATACTCAATGCAGGCTCGAGTACGCTTTTCACACGCTGTTTAAACAAGCTTGATGGTGATTGGTAAGTTTATACTTGCATTACCAGGCAATTTTCGCAGTAATTTCGTGGGTCCTTCTACCAATTTATTTATTTGTTGACTTACATCCGCGCAATGAAAGCTTATCAATCATTATTAAACCTTGCGACTGTCTTTAACCAAAACCAAGATTATTAGGCCCTTTATTAGGCAGGGTAAAGTTTCGGTGCCGTCGCCTTCGTCGAAGCCTCGGCAGCCCCTAAACTGAATCGGCAAGCATGGATACCAATACCAACGGTGTAGGTCGCGCTTGCTAGTGCACAGTTCAGTTTGAGAACTGCCGAGGCTACGACAAAGATGACGGCAAGAAAAAGTTAGTGACTCATATATAGAAACGCTATGACCGTCAGAAACGCTACAGCGCAAACTGGAGCAAAAGCAGAGAGGAAGAGAAAGAGAGGCAGTGCGAGGGTAAAGAAAAAAAAAAGTTGGGCAAAAAATAAGATGGAGGGTGTCCTCAGACATTTTCTATTATATTCTCTACAGAACAGATTTAGCTACGGTTTGGGCGAAAACCAGTCAGGTAAAAAATAAGGAAAAGCGGCATACAGCAAGACTTCACGCAGCTGAGTAGTGCACTACAATAAAATCGATGGACGGCGGCAAGTACGCATCTCACAAGTGCAAAAAGTGCACTTTGATCGATAGAGAGCTGGATGAAAGCAATGGCACGTATACAATGCTTCCCAGAAATACTGAGGATAGGATAGAGTTACTTGAAAAGAAGAACGCCATTTACTCTTACATCAGCGCAAAAATCATGTAATCATGCGCTCTTGCACTTTCTTCACGTTTTCCCTCTGCAGTCGCGGTCAGACAGCATCGCCCTAATCAAAGTGTAGAGCCCCATCGAGCAAAGAGTAGGATGAACAATTTCCCAAAACATTTTGAAAAGAAGAACATCCACATCGAGTGCAATATCGAACAGTTGGAATGAAAGTGCGATGCACGCAGAGTGCAAATCTCGATTAGCGCCAGTCTACTTGCTGACACCCACTGAGTGCACAATTTTTTCTCATTGCGCACGTTCGCGCAGCTTTCATTGCTCTGCTGGCAACCAGCATATGCTCCTTTCCTTCTTTTTTCTTTCACATAAGCATTAGCCAGCAACGGAAAGTAGCTAAAGGTCACAAAGCTGAGTTACTTCCTGTTAGTGGCATTGCTTTGGTTGGTCTTTGATTGAGTCTGCACAGAAGTGAGAATTCTTACAGATGTTTCCACTTCTGTAAATCAAGCATGGTCTCCAGATGTGAACAAAAGTTCCGCTGTAGATTGCGGCTCTACTCTAAAGCAATGTTCGAGCGTAAACTTTTTACCTTTGCGTACACGACAAAGGTAAAAGCTACTCCAAGACGAAGGCGGTCGCCCATGTACGCGAGGCGTTCGCGTGCGTACGAGCTCCAATGATGAAAGATGCTCAAACACGCCGGTCGCAGCCGCTTCGCGTACTAAACCGACCGCCTTCGTCATGGAAGAGCTTTTAGAAAGTTAAAGAAAGTTACCTGGGTTTAAGCGCTATGCTGAAGCCAAGAAGACATTTTGAGGAGGTGCCCTTCAATGCACTCCTTCCCACTTCGCTATTGGTCCGTACTGAATTGACCAATAGCGAAGTGGTAAGTGGATTCAAGCGGTTCAAGTATGGCGCGTGCCTGAGTGCTAAAAGGCAATAGCAGACTTTTGAGGGACTCCATATCTTGAGTGTGGCGCATATTAGCGCCGAGGAGAAAAATGGCTATGGAGGCAACCGCCTTTTGAGCTGCGCCCGCAGCCTTCATTAGGACAAATGGTCCGGGAGGTATCCCAAAATGAAAGTTCATCTTCGAACGACTGTGAACTGCATACAGCGCGTCAAGGGAGGTGATGGAGTTGAAGCGACCTATGTTTTATACGCCATCTCTTTGTCTTCTGAACGAAGAGAAAGCACTGGAAGCTATAGCTACTACTTAATAGTTGGAGAATTTTCCGTGATTGCCATCTTACATTTGAGTTGGTCTGTGGAAATATATCAACTATGACGATTGCAAAAGCAGCGAGAACCTACAATCTATCAAGTCAGTCAGATACTGAAACGTGCAGGGCTTACCTCTATAAGCTCCACATGAAGTCATGATTGATCTCGATTCGGCATACTTCTCCGACAGCTGAATGAGCAGTTTAAAGGATAAATATTAACAATTGTAAGTGAAGCAAGAGAATTATGGCTTACCTGCTAACGTCTTCCCAGAAGTTGCTTCTGTTCATTGCGTCTTTGATAGCCCATGGGTCCCGAGATGGGGAAGCAAAAGCATTTCCTGTTCGCCATTACCAGAGAACAAGAAGCAGCCGCGCTTCATTCTTTTCACGTCAAAGGAATCCTTCATACTACAGTGAAAGCTGCGGCAACCTGCAGCGTAGTATGAGGGAACCGTACTGAACTCCTTTGCATACTTTCTAGATATTTATTCATTTGAATGTACAACACAATGATGACCGACATACGAACGCTACTCAATCAACAATTTGATGTCGGTACTCTCTTAACGCTACTTCCATATCGCAAATCACAAAATATCAATACTCTACAACTATATAAAACTAGCCCAGGTTTGCATTATGTTGAAGAAATCATGAGTGCGTTCTCAATCTGGGAAGATAAGTGTTCTTGACCTCTTTTGTGGCCATGCCTGGTAAACCACATAAAGGGAGATAAGCAGAGAGATGGCGGTCACATAATATCCGGTTCTGTAGATCTGCAAAAAATGCTGGCATAAAGTCGCAAATTTTCCAGGCCATATGGGATGTTCAAATGTTGGTCATTGGGACCAACCTGGCCGATGTCAGCGACTCCTTTCGCGAGATCGAAACCCATGAAACGAAGTCCATTAATCGTGTGGAAAATGATTGGGAATGCAATTATAAACTGAAAATGAGGAATAGGACGAAATCCTCAGCGGGCAAGATCTCAAAACTTGCCTTGAATACTGAGGTGATGATTGGATGAATGTGCCAGCTTCGAATGTAGTTCACAAATTGTGTGAAATTCCAAGGAAGAACAGCAAATCCAATACCTGGTATCAATGTTTTCAGAATAATTTTTTGTTAAGTGACTGTTCAAACTGTACCTCCAAAAAGGAGTACTCCGGCCATCACACAACCGGTGACACGGAATAATCCCGACAACTGAATTTCGTTTTTTATGTCTACGCCGACAAACGAAAACTCTGACATACCATCCAGGTTAATTGGGGCTTGTACACCTTGAGATGAGGAGCAATTGGACGACCAAGAGCCTTCTGTTTATGAAGATAAGTCCAACCCCACTCCTGGATGGGAGTCTTCTCCCTTTCGCATTGGCGCAATGTGGTTGTGAAAAGTCGCGTGGCCATCAGCTGGCGGGGAGTGACCCGGCATAGAATTCGTCCCATCAACATTTCACCTGTGAGTCGATGTAGAGAAGTACTTATATAAAAGGACTGAACGCAAATAAGTAGGCCAAACAACTGATTGCGTTGAGAATGGTTTGCAAGAGCAGCAGCCTCTGCTGCACGTCACGAGTCAGGAAGCGAAGAATTTGAAGTTGAGATTGCTCAAAGACATAGGGCATGAAATTCTGCTCAAATAGCAAATTCATAAGATTTTATACCCTACAAGAAGATGTTTGAGTCAGTGACTGAGATTTTGGGAACATCATTTCGATACGAAGAAACACGTGAAAAGTATGCTTGTGTAGCAGCCCAAAATTTCGTAGCAGTTCGTTTCTGCTGCGAACGATGTATCTTTCATAAGAAAAGGACATGAAATCCAGATTCTTTTCAATCAGGCAAGTCTTTTATTCCCTACAGTAGCGAACTATATGAGCTAATGGGCTATAGAAAAGAATTAAACATTGACGGAATGCAGTAAATGTCATGGCGGCTGAGTTTGGGAAAAAGCCGACGGTGTGCAGGGTGTACGGATAAGAAAGCAAGCTTTCAATTAATTATAAATGTATACAACCTATATTTACCGGAACTATAACTAATACCTACTTTCTTTCAAGAGGGTACCGATGGTGATCTCGTTCACCACTAACTTATGTGATTGGTTGCTAACTTCTGGAGAACCAATCATGATAAGCCGATAACATGAGGTTTTGAAAAATGAGCTCACATAGGATGCTGCATGTCACACCACCGCCGCGGTACGAGGATCCTCATAGAGCATTTGAAAAAATGAGCTCATCATAGGATGCTGAATATTACACCACCTCCGCGGTACGAGGACCCTCACAGAGCAGAGGAAATCAAGGAAAAAAAGAAAATAGTCGTGTCGATTGCAACTTTGTTCGATGCTTGATCACATTTAAAATGGATTTGAATCGTCCACTTGGGATCAAAAAAAAGGACTACAACTGCTTGTTCTGCGACAGTGACTGGATGATATTTTAAAGGTTAGGTGGAACGCGCATCGTGTTTACCAATACTCAGAGCTTCGGACCGTGCGAGCGCGCCGCAAAGGTCAGTCGAGCGCGCGCCGGATTTTCGGGTGGCCCGGTGATCGGGGCGCGCTCGCACGGCTTGTACGGCGCGCCCGCTCGGCAGTGGGTGGCCGCACGCACGGTACCAAAAGTGTTGAATACTTGTTCCGAAGCATTTTCATTGCTTATTTATGTGTAGTGATAGGCAGAGTGCGAGCAGTGACTTTGATTATTTATTCTGCATTCGCAAGAACATTATAACATCAACAACAAGAACATTATAACATATTATAATATCCTTATAAGGTTACCTTGTAACAACATTATAACATTACATTATAACAACTGAGATAACCTAGGAGACATAGCAAAATTTACGAAGTATCTTGAGAAACTGTGCTTTTTTAGGAACAGACAATCAATCGCACAATTGCCAGATGCGGTATACAAGAACGACGCAAATTAGACACAATACAACTTGATTTGCATACTAAATCCGAAGCAGTGCTTAGAGAATTTCCTCGATATATGTGCGAGATGAATGTGATGCTAAATCAGTTCAGTCTGCGGCTTCCACTTGAATTCTGTGAGCAGTGCTATGCAAGGACATTGGTTTGTTCTTCCACAAAGCCTAAAAAAACATTTACACGCAAAGAAAAGAAATCAGCATAAAACAATTACCTTTAGTTGGTGACTCTCATTTTTTGTTTCTGCATCTTGCTGGAAATACTTTATCACAATGTACAAGAATTTTAGAAGGCCATACCTGTTGTGCCAGTGGATTACAACTAAACACCCGAGCTAATCAATATTGGCGTCATTTGGATAGCCATCAGGTCATCATCTTGAGAAAGGAAGAATGTCACACACTCTAAAGTGCGAAATTACATTAACAGACTGAATCCTGAAATAGTCAATAAAGTAGAAACATCGAATGAGAAATCATTGAATGCGTATGTACAAGTAACAAAGGTAAACATAACAAAAGTTTACATTTGGCACGTTTCAATGAGAAGAAACTCCGTAAGAAATTTCAACACGGTAAAACATTAAAAAAGATTGAAAAGAAGAACTGCGATCCACATACCGTGCTATTTTTTCAAAAACAGTACGTGAATGCCCGTCAACAGCGTTGTGCACGAGCTACCACAGAAAAGAATGGCTGGCCTCTCGTGCGACCATACGGCGCGCTCGCACGGAGGCTTGCTCCGCCCCCGCAGTTGAGCTGGCCGCTCGCACGGAAGCCCCGAATTGCGGCGCGCTCGCACGGTGCAAAGCCCTGAGTATATTGACAGAACCGCATATGCGCCATGCACACGTATTGCGCCAGTCGAGGCTGGCGCAGAACGCTTCTGTGATCTTTTGAATCAGTGATCTGGTAGTAGAGCCAAGCAGATTGTCAGAACAGATGCTATAGTATTTACCGAAATTTCTAACGCAGACTGATCATATATGTCTAGTTGAATGTTCATTTATCGATACGATACAAGTTTTTGTTCCGGCCATAGACAATCTCCAGTACAATTCTAAGTGACTAAAGACCTATATTCCCTCCACTCTTCCGTGGCAGCAAGGCACATCTGATGGTCTGCCAGTGAATCACTAGCTGCATATACGCTACGATGTGATTTGGTCATTACATCGCTTGCACGGATTATTCTGCATCACGGATTCAAACTTATAAAAGTTTATTATAATAATTGTCAATACAACACATTTATATTACATACGGTATTCAAAATGAAATAAAAACTGCGGAATCAAAGGCAGCGTCCAGGCAAATCTGGACTTAATGGGGCTCTCACGTGGAAAATAATCTTGAGGTCTAAATAAGACTCTGCCCAAGCGGCAGCTCAGATAGTGCACTCACGGCTAAGATATTGGGCTCCACACTATGCCCCGTGATCGTATTCGCATGGATTCCTAGCGCTTTCGCGCGAGATCCACGCAAATCTGATGTGCCGAGCCATGAATTCATGCGAATACGGTCACGGCGCACAGTTTGGAGCCCAATATCTTAGCCGTGAATGCACTCTCTGAACTGCCTCTTGGGTAGAGTCTTATTTAGGGCCTCTAGATTACATTCCACGTGAGAACCCCTAGGCTCAGCTTTTCCTGGACGCTGCCTTTAAACAACGTTTTTTCACTCAAAAGGGAAATAACGCTGCTTTGGACAAGCGGTTGAGAGTGAGTGAAATAGTTGCACGAAATAAGCAGGAGAATTTCATGAAGTATTATGAAGCGTTTAGGAGACCTACATGTGACAATAACAAGGAAAATGATTTGGGCAAAATGGCAGTGGCAAGAAGATCATGGCGCTAGAAGCAGCTTAGGAAAACGATTTCATTCTTATGCGCAAAGCCCTTGAAAGGTTTCGTAGGCTCCTTTCAAGTATATTTATACGCTCTTTTGGCTTTCCACAAAATCGGACTTTGTATAGCGGGTAGCTGCTGAGAGCTACCTTTAGGATGTAGAACTGTGGATGGAACGGAAGATTTGCAAGCTTCTAGATTTTGCTGTTACTTGGACTGAAGAAAACACATTCTACTAGCCAAGAAAATGCCATTGCAGACATAAGGCTGAGTTCAACTGATCCATAAGTTCCGGAACAGTTCCAGCATAGCGCACAATTTGAAGGCTGTGGTGAAACTGTTCCGGAACTCGCCGATCATTATGAACCCAGCTCAAAGGATTCTTCCATGATCGACTGTCTGAGGTGACTGAAGAATGTGAAACCGCCGACCGGTACTAATCTTGGTTACCCAGCTAAAACAACCCTAATCAGGATTCGAATTCTACTCAGCGCATCATTAAACAACAGTATTCATCAGTTTCGAAGTCTCCACTTCTGCCACGAATCCCTTGCCTGCAAATCTGCCACGCTAAGCACGAACGCGCCCACAGCAAACCAAGAACAACGAAAAATTTGTCACAAACAGGGGGTACATTGCCACAAACGGAGTATCACATGAATAGAGATCAGTAATGTTCATCCAGTTCATCCTCCCTCAAGCGCATTTCTTCAGAGGGAGCTATTGTAAATGATGTTGTTGAATCTTCTCCATCTGCAGTTAGCAATGACTTCTCTGCACCTTTCTTATCAGCCTTGCGTTTTCTAGTTTCTTCGGATTTTTGGGCCTGAATGAAGAATTATGGCGTACTTAAACCAACAGCCACAATGAAAGATCTTGAAAATCCCAAAACTTTTCTCGGTATTATTCTCCAAAGATATCTCTCTGGTAGCGAGACATATTAGGAGATAAAGTGATATAGATAAAGGTAACATCAAATGATTTGCGCGGCACTTTGTACGTTGCCCATTTATGAAAAAGAAAAAAAAACCTTATTTGTCTTCCAGACTTCTAGAGACTCTTGAAGAGGTCCAACCAAATGATCACATTCGATGATGTGGAAAGCCTTGAGAGAAAAAAACATGAATTGTGTTTTCTGTACTAAATCACAACCATACCTGGAATATATCTTCGGGTGTCAAAACTTTTCGTCTTTTATTCGTGGCATACTCACAAGCATGTGAGCTCATTTGATGAATGAAAATCTGAAATGATTAAGCGATACACAAAATATCATCCATACTGAGACAAGGATATTCGAGAAGGCTTTGCGCAGGTCTGTTAATAAGTTTATACCGACGCTTTGACGCGCTTCATGATTTACTCAGAAATTCAGAAGAAAAATGTTCAATCTTGTTAGGCAATATGTGCAACAAGATTTTGAGTAAGGCACGCGCCAAACTTGATCCGCTGATCCACTTCGCTATTCGTCAAATCAGTGAACTGACGAATGGCAAAGCAGATGTCCACTTGATCCACTTGATCCGCTTCGCTATCGGACAGTTCACTGATTAAATGGATCAAATGGATCGAATATGACGGGTGCGTAAACTGATGACAGAACGGATGATGGCTACACACTCTCCTATACGATCAGAATGTTTCTTCACGAATATAAAGGCGGTTGACATACCGATGCTGCTCGTCCAATAGCCGTTCGTGCTTCTTTTGAGACCGTTCCACTGGGGCCGATAGCCCTGTCGACTATTCGGCTAACAATCAAGGGAGGAAGCCGCATGTCTTCCACTTTAGTGTCTTGTACCATGACTTCTGCATCAAACAATATACACTCAGGAGTTTCGGAAAAGATGCGTGATACATATTAGGAAAACCTCGAGGTATTCTTAGAGAGAAGGCAGTTTATGCTTTTATTTCAGCATTCAGGTATCTTCATAAGACACTTCTGTACATTCTCAAACTTGCAAATTACATAAAACTTCAAGGCGCTCCACAGAGACAAAGTTCAGATCTCCTGTAAGTACGATAGCACAAGGATCACAGCACACCGTATCGATAGCTGGTCGAGAACGAAAAGAGAGAAACAGAAAAAAACAGTGCAGCGCACGGAGGAGAAGAAGTAAGGAAAGATAAGACGGCAGTAAAGTTGATACAACAAAGTGTACATTACATGTGATACATACTTATCTAACACCTATAATAGCTCATGTTTCTGACTTGGGTTATTATATGATCATACACGAAATCTATGAACACAGCAATAACATACATTTCAAGAGGGATAGATTAGCGAACTAGGCAAGGAATAAAGAAATCTATAGAATCACTGGGTACGATTTGGTGGTCAAGCCGACTGATAATGGAAACATAGCGTTACATAATATTAACAAAATTTTTTTCCTGTGGATGAGAACATAGAGCTTTGGTACGTAGAAAGTCCTGCAGGTATCATCGGTATCGAATTCAATCGTTTTCGAGTCGACAACTATTAGCCACCGGAGAACATTTCGGATATTGCTGGAAAACAAAATTGTCAGATGAGAAAGTACAACATCCTGCCGGAAGGAATAAACATGTAGCGTAGCTGACGTTTAGAGCGATGAACAACGAAAACAACGTTAATTAGATAGATGAGAGGAAAGTCCAAAGACCTTCCCTCTCCAGGTCCACTACTCTCATACAATACAGGTGAGGTCTTTCCAGAACGATGCTCGCAAAGTTCAAGGCAAGATGCGCAATTCAAAATTTCTTAGTGAAATCAGTCACAAAAAGAGTAGACACATTGAACGTTCGACCTATGTGTATCGAAATTTGGCTGGACGTGAACGCGGTATGGAGTTATAGAGAATGTAAAATTCACTCCAAAAGCACTAATAAAAACGTCTGCTGAAAAAAACGTTTGCTCGAATTTTCTGGCAATATTGGTCATAACTGCACCATCTTACTAAGAAACGGTAATGGACAGTAAATTTCAACGTCAAAACTGTGAATCCTCCAGCAAGCAATGATAGTGAACCTAGCAACCATGCATTGAAAAACAGCCACAAGTAAGCAGAGAGAAAGGAACTCACCCTCAAATTAGGATGATCTAGGTCGCCGCGATTGCCTTTTTCACCATAAGAAGAGAGACCAGTGCCAAAGTTTTTCACACATGCACACCGCTGCTGCTTTGTATTTGGATCATAAAGCAACCTAAGAGTTTATAAATTACCTTACGTTCTCAATAACCTTTCGAAACTGCTTGAAAGCTAAGGTGAGCGAATAGTACAGCACAGCAGATTCTTAATCAATAAATGTCGCAAGTTATCTAACAACAGCACAACAAGGTAGTCAGAAAGATTTGCCAAAATTGGTAACTAGTAAATACACATGAGAGACTCGTAGAATTCAAAATCAAAGTAGTTCTCTTGTAAATTCTTACCTTGGTACTCCCACCCAATCTCGATGGATACCACCACTTTTCACTGAGCACCAAACACGGCCACCACTGTTCTGATGCCATTCACTGTTGCACGGGGGAAACACCTGAAAACCACATAAACACATAACTTTCTTAAGTAGATTTTTACGGTGATTTTTGCTGACGGATGAGCGGGCATGGGTCAAACTTCACTGAGTTATATTTTCCTGGGAATGTCTGCTTGAACAAAACTTTAGTGCATGTTATTTTTATTGAGACCAAACTGCATCTGAGACAATAATTTTTTATATTCACTTTGTCTTTCTTTTTAAAATTGTGATACCTCAACTGTAAGTCCAATTTTGATTTTTGTAACACACCTTAGAGCGTGTAAAGTAAATGAACAAACAGATAAATTAAACAAGTAGTTAAATATGGTGCAAATTGAATGATGAAATGTACACTGCAAAATAAAATAAAAAGAACCTCAGCTTCATCAGCTTTCGACTTCTTCCATTCTGCTGCAGTCTGCATGCGAGCCAGCACCTGAAATATCACTGTGCAGAAAAGCTTCATCCAGCATCAAAGGTGTAAATAGCACACACGTGTTTGAGCTCCTTCGTAGGCATTCCATTAGAATCATAGTATCTGCCAACTAATACACCCACTAATTTGTAATCTTTTTCGTAAAAAGATACCCAATCTCGAATCCCTAAAAAATAACCTTGGCGGTCGATTATAAGCACAGATAGTGTAGCAACCTAAAAGATCTTCATGTGAGAGACCATCAGTGTTGTCCACGAGTCCGGTCTCAGTGAAATCGCCACTTACGAAAGCACGCGTAGCATCACGCCCTTGAAAGGCAAAGAAAATCAAAACTTTTGAAAACGAGATCGGAGAAATAACAAAAGCAAAAATATGTCGAAGAACATGCTTTGGAAGATAGTGACTAACCAGCAAAGAAGTGATATCCTCCACCTTTCCCATAATGTTTTCTTCCTTTATCAACATTATAGACTCGTCCAAGTATGGCAAGGTAAACTGGCCTGGAAAGATGATGAACTACTAGAAAATATGTGATGTATGTCAAAAGGCTCACCTAGATGCTCTACTTCCATCAAATAAGGCAAGTTGTTCAGTGTTGAAAATCTGCATGTCATTACTGGCTACGTTGACTTCTGCTTCTACTGTCTAGAAAAATACAGGGTACTACGAACTGTAAACGTAATACATGAAATAGTCTTTTAAGCAAGCAAACCTTACCTTAACATCATCCTGGGTTGCTTTCCGTTTTGATATTTTAACGTTTTCTTTAGTATCCTTCCACAACTGCTTTGCCCAACCGATTTTATCTCGAGTGTATTCATACTAAAAAGACATTATTATATTTTCGAGCTGAACTTGAACTGCTTTTCAAGCCAGTCAAGTGAGATCAGAAGTAGTTCAAACATATTACGAGAATAACAAAAAAAACACATGGATAGCTTTGTGTTGGAGCTTCGGAAGCTTAGCAATCTGGTTTCAACTTTCAAAAAAAGGAAAAAAGAACAAAAGCTGCAAGTGGTATGTATTTCGTACCTGTTCTAATTGATTCAAAGTCCATCGCGTGAAGTTTCCGATACCATAATTGTAGTAACTGCATAAAAACGATAAGAAAGCTACTTGGATAGCTATATAGACTAGGGTAGATGTATATAATGCGGGTTTAAACCGCCATGGTTTACCTGCCATACCTGAAGTAGACTGAAAAGCAATAAAATCGACCTGAATTATACAAAAAACAGCAACAACGAGGCGAAGCGAAATGATGAATCAAATGATTATTATATGAAAGAGAAGTGAAGTCAAGAAATGTCAATTCTCGCTTCATTTTTCTTCAATAAACACCGAATGGAGCTTATACCAAACATAAGTGCTTTTATATACTTACTGTCTAACTATGAAAAAGCTATATGGAATGAAGAAAGCATAAAAAGAAGAATGGCTCTCCTTTGCAGTTTTATGGCGGCAGATGCTCGAAGGCGGCGCATGGTTTCACGCGTCAGCTTTTGTTGGAGCACTAAATCAAATGCGCATAGACACACGCCATACTTGATCCTCTTGATCCACTTGATCAGCTTCGTGCAAAACGCGTGCTTATCAATTTGTTGCGCCGCGTACAGCGAATTTGCGCAACCCATACAGAATTTTTACCTACGTGGCGCCAAAATGACAAACTAATGGTTTTGCATAAAACGGCTTGGGCGGATCAAGCGGATCAATGGTTTGAGCCAGGCGCCACACTTGATCCGCTTGATCCGCTTGATCCACTTCATCCACTCCACTATTGGTCAGCTTGATGATTTGACCAATAGCGAAGTGGATGAAGCGGATCAAGCGGATCAAGCGGATCAAGTATGGCGCGTGTCCGATAGGATCAAGTATGGCGCATGTCTTCAGGGAACGGCCATAGGTTGCCGGGGTTGCCGAATGACCCCGGACACAGTTGACGGCACCACCTCCCCCTCCCACCCCCAAGTAGACCTTAGCCCCAATTCCACTTTCCAATTCGTGGGCTGAGTCCTGAATTTGTGCTTCAATTCACCAATGACGCCCACAAAGTGCAGAGGGCGGGGCTGATGGAGATTTGGAGCACGATTTCAAGGCTTAGGGACTACGAACTGAAGAGTGGAATCAAGGCTAATTGTACTTGATTGGTCTATTATCTATCTAATATATAAAAACCTAATATATGAAGAATCGTTAACCCAGTTCAAAAGTCTGCCAGCGGGAAACCGCGGTGCGGTCCCGAAGCGCGCGCACGCTGCTAAAGTCGCCTGCACGAAATCGCCCGGGTTGCTGTAGGCTGAACGCACGCGAGCGTGCCAACGGGGCTTTGAAGCACGGGCACTATGGTGACTCATGCGCGCGAATGCCAATGTTAGCGCGCAAGGGACACGCTCGCGGGCGCTTAGTCCGGGCGATTCCGTGCAGTCAACTATAGCACCCTCAATTACTGGTTCACCAGTCTAACAGTACCAAATTCTGAAAGGGTCCAATTTACCGAGCCACCGTTCTCAACTGGTTATACAGGGCTTATCAATTGCAGTGTCGGGTGCACCAGCATCTCCACTCCCGAGCGGGACTCTGCACCTCTTCCGCAAATGCTTTCTAACCTAATCCAATCGATTGAGGCTCCGGTGGGAAAATGATTAGAGAGCATGTCCGCGAAAGAGGTGCAGAGCCCAGGCGAGACGAGCGCGCGGGAGCCTAGATGCTGATGCTTCCGACACTGCAATTGATAAGCCCTATAGACTCTTTGGCTCTAGGTGCCGTTACTGTGTAAAGTCCCTAATTTAATATCAGCTTGATGTAGGTATAGGGCATTCGGAAAATCGTGACGATGGCGCGACCGCGCGCGACGCGCACGCACTTTCATTTCTTGATTTCTATCTCTACTGGAATGGTTTTTCTGCTTGCGTATGATAGTACTCAGACACTGGAAGTAACTGAGCTGGGCACTGAGTTGACACCCGTCTATATGAGTGTTTTATCCCCTTGTGTGCGCAAAGACCGCAGTCAAACTCGTCGTCACGATTTCAAGAATGAACCATATCTTATTGTCAGCCTGTCCATCTCAGACTGTTCATGAGACAACAAAAGGCGCTCCAATTCAAAGTAGGCTACTGCCGAACGAAGGCGAAAAAGCATTGAGTTGCGCGGGCGCAAATGTAGTGCGCGTACAGTCTGTCCTAATCGGGAGCAGGCCGAACCGTCGGCTGAATTTGCGCGCTCGCAGCGCTGAAGGTTTGCGCTACATACGCGCGCTGTCGCAGACAGCGAAGAGATTGAGGAGAGAGCAGACTAGCTAGTCGCAACGTGTAGCACCTTGCGACACCTACTCCTGCCACGCCCAATCTTGTCCCTGGTCGGGATTGGGGCAGACTGCATCTTCACCGTTGTTGACCTCGCGCCTCATGCGCTCTGTGGCTAAAAAAACCGCGTTCGCGCCCCTAGGTTGCGCGCCTTCGTTCGGCAGTAGCCTTCACACTCTAGTATGTACCTCGTCAGTGTCAGACGATGATAAACGGATCTATTCGAGTGCAGTTATTGACCATTGATATATTCCGCTGAGACGTCATTAGAAGGTAGCGTCATTTCTAGGGTTACACGGATTCTTGCGCTGCTTCTTTTGACTCATCGTATGTCAAACCGTCACAACTATATTTCGGAAAAACTGCAGGTTTGAAAAGTAAAGAAGTTTTTTTGCTATGCGAAATGTCTTGTGGCGGCTCGAAGGTATCAGCACCTTTCGATGTGTGCTCGTCGCAGCTACAGGCGATGTCAAAAACCTATTCCCTTTTGTGCAGTCCTCGATTTGCATGCACGCGCCGCAAATCCCGTGCGCCACGTGCGCGAGCGGACGGCAGGGCATTTTGCCAACTCCCACAGACGTCATCGATCGAGGGTTGGCAAGGGCCCAAGCCGTACGCACGCGAACGGAGCGCATCAGCCTTGCGATGGGTACGCGTAAGAGCTACGGACTTGTGAGGTCCTCATTAACATGCACTGTACAGTGTAGATCCCTACTGTTCCATACACGATATTGGGCGTCTGCTAAGATGAGGTACACCTCATCGGTCGCTGTCTGGACTGTCCTCACCCGCACAATAGTATAATAGTGAGTAAACGCTGACGACAGTTTATCTTAATAGCATGAAAGACCTATACTACACTATAATATACTAAACTGGAAGAGAGTAATTAGCCTGTCAATTAACCCCTGTAGACAAAGTGTGTTCGAATTCTGAAGATTCAAGATACTAGGCTACCTAAATGAAATGGTCAAATTCCAACATGGTTAACTTTGTTTCAAAGGTGAATTAGCTATCCGTTTTTGCACTCAAGACAAAGCACTACTCCTTCTTTGTCCACCTCAGATCCCGCTTCAGAAGACCTGCAAACTGTGGAATTAGAAGCCAACCAAAATCTCGTTTTTCCCATTTTTCGCTTTTGATCGCTGTGCTTTCACCAAATATTACTCAGAGCTAAGAAGACGAATCAGGCTCCAAACAGTTCTATGGAATCTACAAGGTTTAGGCTATCGATTCATATAAATACTGTCCGCTAAAAATGTTTTTTTTTTGATATAGTTAATGGGGTGCGGCACACCCCCTTAAAAGCTGCGGCAGCCGCAGCTTTTAAGGGGGTGTGCCGCACCCCCTTAACTTGCCTTCAAAATCCAGAAAGCGCTCCATTGCTGGTATGAGTATTGAGCACACAGCTTCTTCTTGCTAACTGGAAATTTGGAGCCGAACGCCCCACCCATAAAAAAATTATGGCCCTTTCAATATGCCCATTCAGATCAAAATCAGCCGTCAAATTACGTGTGATTGTAAAGTGCAGTCACAGAAAATCGGGCGTACAGCTCTCAGAAATCTGGAAACTCTCTAGAAAAAGCTGGTCCTCCAGAATGTCACACTTTGAGGCCAGAGGTTAAGAGGAGGAAGAAGGGGTCGTTTGAGGGCTTTCATGGGGATGCGGTGCAGGAGGAACCAAAGGACTGCCGCCTGTAGCCGTAAGAGATAATTAGAAGCGCGAGCGCTGTGGAGAAGATTTGGCAAGGATTCAGGAAAACTTTGCAAAGACATCCATTAGAAACAAACCCTTATAGCTCTTCTTGGAACTAACTTTTGAAGATATGAAGCACAAATTTGGAATCAATATTGAAATACGCATTTTTCAGTAGTACGCCTAACGGATAGATAAACAACTCTGCCTTGCCACTCGAGTTCTACTTTTACCAAAAACTGAAACTGAGCCTTCAAAGTTCACCATTGAAAACTGAGGAATTTCAAGATTAATGTTGTTTGAAAAATTTTAAGTGAAATCTTTTCAACGAAATTCGGATTTTTAATTGAAAGTAGGGAGTGGTAATGATCAGACTTTTGCTATTGTGTACGAACTCGTTACCGGCATAGTTTCAACGACAAATCCTGTGAAATCTCTACCGTCAAAATTTAGAATTCAAATAGATTTGAAGTTATGGGACCTGCATATTGCATCATGACACAAACCTCCACGTGTGTTTTTATGACAGTTTGAATGCGGGACTGACTCCAAAAGCAAACCATTTCCTCATTCCTAAGAAAACAGAATGAATTTGGAATAAAAACACCGGTTTCAGCAGTTTGAAACTTCAAAATCTATAAAACAAAAAATTCCTATAAAAATTTGACTTTTGTTACCACTACAATTCCAAATTTTCAACTGCTTATAGGCCCAGTGAATGCGCCTTCCAATTTGCATCACAAATGTGTTTTTCAAATTTTTCAAAATCATCTCCACGCAAAATTAAGGAGATTTGATCCTAAAGGATGTCTCTGCCAAGTTTCTTGGATCCTTGCCAAAATGTTCTCCACATCGCTCGCGCTCTTGATTATCTCCTGCGGATACAGGCGGCAGCCCTTTGGTTCCTCCTGCACCACCCCCCTTTCATGGGAGGGAGGGGGGTTGTTTTCGAAAGACTTGTGCCTAACCCCTTTCTCAACTCTGGTAATGCTATCTTAGGTATATAGTTCAGGGAGGGGGGTCTTATTAAGACAGCAATCAGGGGGGGGGGGGGGTCGTAACCAGCGATCGTGTGCCACACCCCTTGCTTGACCCTGCTTATGATGCAGGAGCTCAAGGCACCATAATGCATTATTGAGATCATAGACAAAGGTAATCAATGAAGACGAAAGTGAACAGGCGATCAAAATGAGGA